CTTTCTCTCCCCCCTGCTCCCCTCTGCCCCTGCTGCCCCCTCCCTCCCTCCCTCCCTGCAGCCCTCCTCCGTCCAGGGGTTCGTACGCTGGAAGGGCTTTGGCTTTCTCGGTTGAGGTCTCCACGCGTGTCGCGGCGCAGCCAAGATGCCCGAGCAGAGCAACGATTACAGGGTGGTGGTGTTCGGGGCGGCGGGGGTCGGCAAGAGCTCCCTGGTGCTGCGTTTCGTGCGGGGGACTTTCAGGGAAACCTACATCCCCACGATCGAAGACACCTATCGGCAGGTGATCAGCTGCGACAAGAGCATCTGCACCCTCCAGATCACGGACACCACGGGGAGCCACCAGTTCCCTGCCATGCAGCGGCTGTCGATATCCAAAGGGCACGCTTTCATCCTGGTGTACTCCGTCACCAGCAGGCAGTCCATGGAAGACCTCCAGCCCATCTTTGAGCAGATTTGTCAGATTAAAGGGGACATCCAGAAAATCCCCATAATGTTGGTGGGTAACAAAAGTGACGAGACGCAGAGGGAGCTGGATGCCAGCGAGGGGCAAGCCTTAGCCAGCAAGTGGAAGTGCTCCTTTATGGAGACGTCGGCCAAAATGAACTACAACGTGCAGGAGCTCTTCCAGGAGCTCTTGAATCTGGAGAAGAGGAGAACTGTCAGTCTCCAGGTGGATGGGAAGAAATCCAAGCAGCAGAAAAAGAAAGATAAGCTGCAAGGCAAGTGCTCTGTTATGTGATTGACTTTGGCCGGACTCGCACCGCTGGGCCGTGGTTCGGTCGGAGCACGGACTCCCACAGAAAATACGTTTCTGCTGGAGGTTTCAGACGAATCCATGCCTCGCAGGGCTATTGCTTTTCTCTGAAATCTCCGCTGGATTATTTTATGTGTTGGTTTTAAAGAGGATGGCTTTCTGCATGTTTATTTTTTTAACACAATAAATGTTCAGTGTTAGCAATGACATGTGACTAGGAGTTTTTAATGCAAGCAGTTTACAGAAGAGAAAAATGTCAGTCAGGAGCAAACATCTCTATTCCTGTGAGTACATGCTAGCTTTTAAGTACTGCCAGCTCGAAAGAAGTCATAGTTTCTCTAATACATATGCTTCAGAAATTGTTTTCAGGCATCTATTGACCAGAGCAAGTCTTTAACAAAGCGAGGCGTTTGCGCTGCGGATGAACACGTATGTGGCTCCAGATGCTTACTTTTTTGGCAGACAGACCGGCTCGCCTACCAAAGACGCAGTTTTGTGATGGTAGAAGCAAAGTTTTCCTGTGTGCCGTGCGATTCCTGAGACTTCTGCGGTTCCGTGAGTGATTACAGCCGTACCTGCACACCGTCGGGCTGTTTGCTGGTTTTACCCCCTTGGCTTGGCTTCCCCTGTTCCCCGAGGCAGGAGGTTCCGCGTGCTCTGGCTCCAAATCCAGGGGTGACTCTCGGCACCCTTGAGCACGAGCGGCCTCCTCCACGAAGGCGAGCAGGTTGTTGTGAGTGCCGGTTGATGCAGTCGCTGGTTGTCTTGGCGCTCGGCCTTTCCTTTCTCAGCTGTCAGGGTTGAATGTGGCTAAAGCGACTTTTGCAAAGTCTTCCTGGAGTTTTCATAGATATTTATTTCCCCCCCCTCTTACTTCGTCCAAGTTACCCAGGTTTTAGTTGAGACGTATGACAAGTCGGTTCAGGTAACGCTGCTTCGGGAAGAAACATCTACGCCTGGAAGGTGCCCGTTTAACGCAAACTCCTCTCTGATGGAAACTTTTAGCAGAGACTTCCCACAGCGGAAAGGACTGGAGGCACGGGCTTATCTCAGCTCCCTCGCCCCGCCTTTTTTTTTTGGGGGACAGGGAGCTGTTGTTAACAAGAGACAAGCATGCTAAGCATCATCTGTAGTGCACGGTTGAGAAAGATTTCAAGAAAATAAGTGCGGGTATTCGTCGTCAGCTGCAGATCTCCCACTTTGTGTATGTACTGGTCCAAGCAGAAGGCTGTAGGGACTTCAGTATTGCACTGCAGATCTGATTTTCACGCAACGTAGTCATGACGCTAGAGGCACGGGAGAGGGGAACTGCTGCTTTTTATAGCGCTTTTCCAGTGAAATTATTTGATTGTTGAAGATGAACCGGAGATGCTGGAAAGTACATAGGCTTTCTTGGTTTGAAAGCATTAGTGTCTATTAATAACGGCTGGTTTTCTACGGGAGATGCTAGAGAAGGGCCTTTTCTCCCAGCGGTTATTCATGTGGTGCGGACTCCTACGCAACGCCGCGAGGTCTGTACCGGTGTCAGTATCCCACACGTTGGAGCCACTCTCACAGTCCACCTGCGGATGCTGCGTTGTCGCCCGTGTCTGTCCGTGAGCTGCTTTTCCAGCCTCCTCGGGCTGTTCCCATGCACACGTGAGGGGTCCGTGTGTGCCGAGGGAGTTTGCCCCTATTACAGCTGGAGCCCTCACGCCGCTTGATTCGGCAGAAAATCTTACCGCTACGATTTCGGAAACCCCGGCAAGTTCTGCGTGAGGGTTTGGTGCTGACTGAAGCGTTACGCTTGCTTGCCAAAACAGAGTGCCGGCTTGGCAAGCTGGTACAAGGGCTCCGCACCCGGTTTTTGTTGTTGGGGGTGATGTCCCGCGAGCTTCCTGCGGTGCTGGCTGTGCCGCTGCCACCCGTGGCCTTCGCTCTGCCGCGGTCGGGGGGAGGCGGGCGGAGGAAAAAAACATAACGGCTTGGCGTGGAGAGAACACTGGCTTTTTCCAGCATGGGTTTTGAGCTCTCCAGTCTTTCACTTCCAAGCAGTTACACAATGCTGCTCGGTGGGTCATTTTTAGCATCTGGCAATTATTATTGCAAAGACTATTTCAGTTCCAGCCCTTTGAAACCCCTACAAGTCACTTTAAGCCTTTTTAAAATGTCAAGAGACCTAATCCTGTCTCCACGACTCCCACGGCCTGCGCGGAGACGCCTGTGCACAGGCAGGGCGGCGCGTAGCTGCAATTATTCACGCGGCCGAGGCGCTCTGCAATGTGTCGTTAGCACTGCGGCCGGTTCCCCGGATG